GACAGATCAATATAATTTTAAGGGATGTTTCTGGGCTTTTTGATATTAAAGTTTGGCATTTAGGCTTGAAAATATAAATATTAAAACTGGGACTTAACGAATACTTGCTAGAATATTGTGTAACTATTTAGATGATGGAGAGCACAAATTCAAATTGGAAACTTTATGGGAACTATGTTTTAATCTTGAGAGTGGAGTACACTCAAGGAGGATGCCTTTCTCCAACACTATATACAATTTATACTTCAGACACACTCAACCTACCCCTTTAGCAGATATGTAATGTTTGCTGATGATATTCTCGTGTATCATACCCAGGAAAATCAACTCTGTTATGGCACTCACACAGTAGGCGATAAAAAACATAAATGATTTTGAGAAAAAATGGAAAAATCAGGATTAGTAGAACAGAACAAGATAATACCCAGCTGGCAAGATTATAAGTCAGTATGGAGTCGACCAGGGCCATGCCACTTACGACACTGAAGGCAGGATCGCTTGGATTAAAACCCAATAAAAAAGGATATATAGCATGCTTAAGATAAAGGCGACGAAGCAAGAATAAGATTATCAAAAATAAAACGCTTTAAGAACATAGCATTAATAACAAAAAAAAAGAAAGATTTATATTGCCCTTGTCCAAATCAATTATGGACTACACTATCATTAGACATCATAGTAAAACGTGCATTAAAGGTTACAAACAGTACAAAAATATGACCTCAGATTTTATATATAACACTAAAATATACAGACCACATCAATAATGAACATCTACACAAAGAGCAAACCTGCCAACAGTAAATGTGAATATACACAACAAAGCTGTAATATTTGGAAAAAAGTGGGCTGAACTTAACTTGCAAACATATCAAAACTGGATAAATAATACTAGACAACAGAAAATTCCCAAGAACACAGTTGGTTTAAATCAGCCAGGAAGAAAGTAATTGAACCATCTCCTGCCCCAATATACATATAAAACATAATAGAGAATAAAAGACAGTGGCCTACCAGCTCCACAGGCACCAGCAGGCCTCTCCCAGTGTGTACCAACTAGACTAACATAACTAATATTTAACATTTAACATTTGACATTTAACATTGAAGTAACATCTTAGCAAAAAAAAAAAAAAAAAAAAAAAAAAAAAAAAAAAAATAATAATAATATGTAATGTGATTACCCTCAGCTATATCAGCCATGAAGTAATTGAACCACCTCCTGCCTCCAATATACACATTTCTACATAAACATTACTAGAGGAATAAAGATAGTGACCAACCAGCTCCACTAGAACCTGGCAGGCCTCCTTACAGTGTACCTTTGGGCTAATACAACTAACATAGCTAACACCTCAAAAAAAAAAAAAAAAAAAAAATGTGACTACCCTCCCAGTTACACAAGGACCTGGAGACTGCTCAAAATAATAATAAGCAGCATTATATAATATTAATATTAATACAATGGTCTACTGACATTGACCCAAGGGAGCAGAACAAAGACAAAACAATAAGAAAATGAAGCGATCTGGTTGGTGATTCTTCTCCTGCTGTATTTCAGTTTCACCACTTTTCCTTCAACCCTAATAATCTTCTTTCACCTCTTAACTAAAAGACGTATCGTATCGAAGAGCGTCCCTGACGCTGATTCCCGTTGTCCAGGTATGATCTGTGTTCCCTAGCCATTCAGTTAATCCAGTCAATTGTAGTGAATATCGAGTGTTCACCAGTGTTCATGATTTAACAGTTGTTGTCATTCACCCAGTGTAGAAGTAATATAACGTAAATACGTCTGTCGTCTAGACAAGAGAGTTTGTTGTGTTGTCATGTTTCTCAGTCCTTGACGCTGATTCCGTTTGTCTCCAGATCCCATTGTGATTCTTGAATCGCTCTACCATCAACAACGGCCTCGGATGTATTAGATGTCAGCCAGGATCATATGAGAAGATGGCACCGATGCGGCCTGATTAATGTGCCCCACGGCTTCGTTGGGCCCGACCCCAGACCGCCATGTGTCTGGCTACCCTAATAACAAGGTCGCGGGCCTAGTGTTCTGCCTAGGTTACTCCTGGAAGTGAATGTCCAGAGAGTGTTGTAACCTGTATGTTAGGGATAATTAGTTGGAAATAATTATCCCATGTTGGAGTAGTGGACCCTGCATATACTAGTGTCATTGTTTACGTATATGTTGAATAATCTACAATAGGTGCCATGTAATGTACCACCAGTAATGTTGTGAGTAAGAGTAAAGAAAGAAGGTACTGTGTTTGCACTAAGCCCAGGAGGTGAGCCTGGTAATTATATGATTAATATAATATCTTTCCCCATTGATTGCACATTAATAAACTTGCTTTTAGAGTATTTTAGGTGTATTCATTTCTCCCACAGTATTTTACCTTTATTTCCACCCAGTGACCTGATACCAAATTACCATTCTCACGTGCCTAGACCCTCGACCATGCTCAAAAAGAATGTTCATGCTACCAAAGAATAGGTGGCGGAACTGAGTGGAAGTAAGAACTAAGAGAAGTAAGTAAGATGAGGGTGGTGTAGAAGGAGAGGGAACCCGCCCCTCACATTGGTGGCAAGCCCAAAATCCGCCCCTCACATTGGTGGCAGCCCGAAGAACCCGCCCCCTCACAATACACCCCAACTAGGTACCCCCTTGCCCGTCTGTAGTATAAGCTAGGCAAGTTCAGGCGCTCCAATCTCTCAGGGTAGCTGAGGTGCCGAAGTGCAGGCATAAAACCGTGTTGGCAATCCTTTACAAGGTTGTTTCGTATTAGATGTTCCATTGTGGCATCTTTGATAATACTCTCAAGCGCATTACATATTATGCTGGTCAGGCTCACCGGTCTATAGTTGTTCATGGGTGACGATCGCCCTTCTTGAATGGGACTCATAAGCCACTCCATTCTGGGGACCATTTGTTCATCCAGGCATTTCTGCGATCTTCAGGGGCTCGCAGCAGCTCGTTGCACAACTCTCTGCTTTAGGATGTACCATGTCAGGGTGTGACTCTTATGAGACCTTTGCCTGGACAATTTATTTCTAATACCCTGTGTCGGAGCAAATAACTGTCTTCAAACGCAGGAAGGTTTGTTGCATCCTCTCTTATGAACACACCGAGGGAAAGAAGCTTTCAATGCCTCCAATGTATCCTGAGTGTTGCGTAACCCATCCACCAGCCTCGGGTCTGATACTCTAGTTGCGTTTTCAATTTCGGCTTTGCATAGCGTCGCCTTCAGGTTGACTTGACCTCGCTGCAATAACCTGCTGGAACTCCTTTCATCTACACCCTGTGCTGCTTGGTTTCTGGTTCTTTACGCCCACATCCTGTCTTGCTCATCCGTTTGACCCTTCCATCTTGAATTTTTGGGTTTCTTCTTAATTTTACTGTGTAACCATATATGGTTTTTATGTGTAGGGTCCTCTTTATTCCTAGAAACTAGGTTTGGTCTTGGGTACTTATATTGTATCGATCAAAATATGGGTCACTTTTACTTTGTTATGATATTCTGCGTAGTGTCTGCGTTCTTTGGCATAATGGAGTCAGGCCAGTTTTAGGCCCCTCGCTCTCTGTCCTCATCCGTGTAATTTCCATGTATTTGCGCCTTAGCCCTGGTCTTATCTTGAACTAATTTTAAATCTGAATATTCTTTTTATATGGTGACTAGTTTTAACTGGGCCAGGTGTTCCCACGGCTGCTCTCTGATTTTGTTATGATGAGGTCAAGTGGCTTAAGGTGTTTGCTCCCCTCGCGTGTCAATACGAGGTCTCTAACATGTTTAGGGAACGAAGAGTATCTCTTGGTTTCTACAAAAAAGTGGGTTATTCAGATATTTCGGGGTGGACACCATTTCTCCAGTCGTGTCGCCATAATGGTCCCCCATGATAAATTGGCTAGGGTTGGTTTTATCGCCGCGTTGTTTCATTAAAAGGCTGTAGTTCTTTGATTTAGTGGTTTGAGATCAGTACCCGACGATAAGTAAGTCCCTCGCTAAATTTAATTTTTACACCACTTTGGACTCAAAACATCCTCTCCTGTACCCTCGCCTGGCTGGCTCTAAGGTCTTGCCCAGGCAACCGCCCGAAGGCTCGTAAATGGGTCTTATCCAGCAATACTGAACTGCATTCCGTAGATTAGAATTGCCTGTTCAGCAGCACAGTTCTGGCTCCTCTGGTTGGTGCTGTTGGCCGTGGTGTTTCCAGCTCCTCTCTCTTATCAGCTTTGACCAATGACCATTGTGCCGGGCATTCAAACCGGTATTCTCAGTATCTGCTCTTGGCCTCCCCCTGTTCTCAAGCTGCATTTTCATTATGTTTTTGAGATTGACCTCATCATTATTTTAGCTCTTCTCTGTCGATGGGGAGGAGCTGGTGCCCCCTCAGGTGAGTTAGAAGCGAATTGGAGGTGCCTTTCCCTGTAAACACTTGTTTCCACTACCCTCCCGCTGAGTATAACCCATGAACACCCGTCCCCGTTCTTCCTTGACTCCTCCCTCTTCTGCTTCAAGTCCTGAAGGAGCTTCTTGTGCTGTTCCCTCTGCATTACCGTGAGATTTGGGTGAATGAAAGCATCCCGAAATGCCTCGCTCCTTGCTAAGTTTTTTGCCTGCCGAATATCCTGCCATTTCTCCTCCTCACTCACTAGTGTGATCCTGAGGGGGCGCCCCCTGCTTTTGTCCCAGCCTCCTCACATCCTGAGGGGTTGATCAACCTTTTTGTTTGCTACTGTTGCTTCCTGATAATTGGCACCTCTTGGTATGGACCAGTGCATCAAAGTTTGGCACTAACGACTGAGCTGTAACAACCTTCAGTATTGAATTAACGTGCGCATCAGTAAGTTGAGACCGAAGTCGAGACTTGTTCAAGTTTATCACAGAAAAGAGTTGTTCACAGACATATGTGCTTCCGAACATTGACATAATCTTTGAGGCAAAACATTTAATCCTGGGATAATTTGGTACAAAATATTGATAAAATGTGCCAACACCAACACTCGAAAACTTGTTCTTCAACACAGAATCCAACTGGAGCTCAATTAATTCTAACTGAAGATGTTCTGGCACCTCATTAACACCAACAGAGAATGGGTCCCGAAAAATGAAAAAAATCATTCTCAAGTCATTTAAAGTCAGCAAATCTTTCTTGATGCAGTACTTTTTTGTGGTGATATCAGCATGAAACTCAGGTATGCCTTGCAGGGACCTCAAGGTCGGAAAGTGAGAAAGATTACTCTCTGATAGTTGCCGTTCAAAAAGCTGAAGTTTCATCTCAAAGGCACGAATGCAGTCATAAAGCTCTGTCACCAATTTATTGCGTCCTTGCATCTTTGTATTCACGTAATTTAAGTGTTCTGTAATATCCACCATGAAAGTTAGATCTTGAACTCATTCATTATCTTTCAGTTCATGCAAATCCCTTCCTTTCTGTTCTATAAACATCTGTATTTCACTGCGCAATTCATAAAATCGCTTCAGTACGACTCCCCGACTTAACCAACGAACATCAGTGTGATATGACAGTCCGTGTGTGTTGTTCACAGCTGTTAGTTTTTCCTTTAATTTTGTTACCACGCCAGCTTTTTTCCCCACCATTTGCGGTGCTACATCTGTAGCCAGACTCACAGTTTGTGCCCAGTCAACACCTAATTTATCCAGTGCCCCTTCCAAAAACACAAAGATGTCATCACCTGTTGTTGTTCCTTTCACTGGTACCAGTTTCACAAATTCTTCTGTTACATGCATTTTTTCATTCACACCACGTATAAAAACTGCAAATTGTGCTACATCACTTACATCGGTACTTTCATCAATTGCAACTGAAAATGCAGTAAATGACTTAACTTTGTCTTTGAGTTGACTGTTAATATTCTCTGATAGTTCACCAATTCCTTCTGCAACTAGTCTTATTGTTCTTTCATTGGTGATGTTAATTGAGTATTTTGTTCTAGGAAATAGCAGACTATTTTATTCAGCTGAGGGATACACTCACTATTTAGTTTTAGCTCCTCAAGGTAAGGCTGGAGCAGCAAATGGGCCGCGGGCCGCATGCAAGAGCGTGTAGTGGACGTCTCCCCTACAACTGCGTATCCGCATTCCGATGCGCCGCCGTATCCTAGCAACCAAGCGAGTGGCGACACCAGATGTTACGGTAACCTAGCAACGGAACTAGAGACCAGCGACTTTCTCGGGTTTTCCCAACATGACTCATAGAGGACTCACGGCTGCTGGGTATATAAGCTCTGTCTCTCCATTGAGATTCATTCTGGTCTCTCCTCCAGCAAGCTCCATGCTGTCAGCATTCATTCAACCAGGAGGCCAGCAACAGGCAACATCTTCTCTAACGAAGCTCCTGCACATCTACCTCCTTCAACACGCTACTCACCGAACGTCTCTACTGAGCAGCTCCTCACCACACGGCACCTCCAGCACCAGACTGTCTATCATATAACTTATATTATACAAGAAAACCACCTTAGAGTTTCCATCCATCCTGAGTGGTAGACAACATTATACCACGAACTCCTACAAATGGTGACTCCCGGAGATAAGCACTCACACAGGATGGAGGACGGACGGATCTCTCTGCCGACTTTCAACCACAACGTCGAGGACTGGCTAGATCATGTGGAAGCAGCCCTCGCCGGCTCACGAGCGACCGACGAGCAAAAGTATTGCGCCCTGCTCTGTGCCTTGCCCACGGAAGTGGCCACGCGGGTCTCACAAACCATTTCCAACCCTCCAGATGACAACAAATTCGCTACCCTGCGGGCTGCCTTGAAGACGCATTATCAACAGACCAGCCCCAATCTCCTGCAAGATCTATCCTCTATCTCCCTCGGGAACTCAACCCCGGGACGTCTCTGGTAGATGTGTCGGCTGAACTCCCGTCACACAGACAGACTCCCCGACTCTATCCTGCGCCAGCTTCACGCACAAAAGCTACCCACAGAAGTACGCAACATCCTGTCCGCAGTAGATTACTCTACGACACCAGAACTATATGCAACCGCGGCAGACAGAATTTTCAACGAGTGCGCTGCTGCACCCCTTGCCGCCACGGTCACACCAGTACCTACCACCGAACTTGTAAGCCGGGTCAACACCCCTCAGCCGAGCAATACCTCACAAGACATCAAGGACCTGTTGCAAATTTTGAACCACAGGATGGACACCATTGAGCAGTTCTGCTCCTCCATACCCGCTGCTGCGCCAGTTCCTGACTCACACACTACGCCCTACAAGTTCCGACACACAGCAGCCAACCCCCAGCACAACAAATTTACCCTCTGCTGGTATCACCAGACTTTCGGCCGCAATGCTCGAAACTGTGAGCCCTATTGCACCTATTCGGGAAACGGCAACACCGGAGGCTGGTAGACGCCTCAGCCTCCGTCCCTCCAAGCGTCTCATTACTGCGCGTCACCGACCGCACCTCCGGCAAGAAGTTCCTCATCGACACCGGTTCATCGGTCAGCCTCATCCCTCCCTCACTATGAGACAAGTCAAAGCAACCCTCGTATGACCTGTTCGCTGCCAACGGTACCTCCATCGCCTCCTACGGCGTACGCACCCTCGCCTTAGACCTCGGTCTGCCCAAGACTCTGCGTTGGTTATTCGTGATAGCAGACGTGTCTCAACCCATCCTTGGTTTCGACTTCCTCACCTTCCACAAGCTCGGCGTCAAACCAAGTCATATATGCCTCATCCATGAGCCTACAGCATGCAAGATCCAGGGTTCTCGTGCCAGACACACCGACACTATCACCTGTCTTGCGCCTTCCAACGAGTTCTCCTCCCTGCTCGACGAATTCAAGGAGCTTTTCTCACCCCGAGTCTCCCTACCCCCACCACCTACATCCGGAATTTTCCACCACATCGAAACCAAAGGACCACCAGTCTTTTCACGCCCTCGCCGCCTACGCCCTGAGCTCCTGAACACAGCCAAAGTAGAATTCAACAAACTACTGCAAGACGGCATCATTCGCCCTTCAAGGAGTCCCTGGGCATCGCCTCTTCACATGGTTCCTAAGCAAACACCCGGCGAGTGGAGGGTGTGTGGCGACTACAGAGCCCTGAATCTCATCACCAAACCTGACAGGTACCCTATTCCGCATGTCCAGGACTTTCACCACAAACTTCATGGTGTTACGTTTTTAATGCAGGAAAGTGGCTTTCTTACCGTAGAACTCGGATACCTTCACACTGGTTACTCATCCAAGAGATTATGGTGTATCACTACGTAGAATTTTGCTCTGCTTCCGGCACTCAATGCGTTATGTACTTGATAAATGATGATTTAGTGAATTCCACTAACTTCCAACATCCATCTAAGTTATTGGTTATACTTTGTCATAACCAATGAGTCATTACCCTTGGTAATAATGATAATAGAGGGATCACAGATACGGGCAGATGATTGCACTTACGTTTATTTGGCACAATTCCATACACTGGACTTATAATTTGCATGGATAGGTCAGTCACTCACATTCACGCCACAGTACCGTAAGTTATAAGGGAGAGTTTGTCAACCTGGTGAATTAATCGTTTAGATCTATTAGGCCGGCCTGGAGTGCTCTTGTAGCAAACAGGCCCTCACCATTGATCACTTCCTTTACAGGATGTGTTAACTTGTCGCTGGACTTAACAAAAAAAATCTCGGGGATTTGCACACACAGACCCGTAGCACTGGTAGGACTGTATGGCCCCTGATCTTAAGTCCGCAGAGCAGGAGGTCTTCTCTAACCCAAGGTCTAAAGCCCACTGGCTAAATTGGTTTTTTTTGAGGCGTGAAGTGATGAACAGTACACCACTGTCTCACTGGCCTGCCCCCCCCTACATGTCCCAGTCATGGCTCGCCGGTTACCTTATCTCTACCGTAAACAAACATTTGGGATGGGTTGTGCGGGAGGCCCAACGCAACCCATGACAATCGCCCCTACTAAGAAAAAATTTTTCTCTTGGAGAATAAATTTTCACCACCTGTATACAATCAAGAGAATGCCTAGCCCAGACACACAATTCGACATTCACACTGTGGTGTGTGTGTAACACTAACACTGCAACGGAATGTAGTCGCCAATCGCCACTAAGGGAAAACCTCAACATTTACTTTATTTTTTTTTGGCTGGAGGAAAACTCCGCGGCGAGGGTGACAATTCCCGAGCAATAGTTCATGCTAAGCATAAGCACGCTACATTTACATTAGAGCATCGTGTTGTGTGGTGTAGGGTATGTACTAGTCATTGTTTAGGTGGCACAGGTGTTGTGTTATGTTCTCAAGTGTAGAAAGGTGTGAGAAAATTATACATAACATATGACGAGCCGCCAGACGCTTGGAGGCTCGAGTCGACTGGAGTCTAGACCAACTCCACACTCATTTGGGAAGGTGACCTCTCAATCAGTTGCTCAGGTTCCCCCACAAGTCGAGATAGGAGGTCAGCCCCCACATTCAGGCTGCCCTTGATGTACCGGAGGACGAAGTTGAACTGCTGGAGATACTGTGCCCACCGCATCAGACGAGCATTTGCATTCTTAGATGGTCGGAGACTGGTGAGCGGCATGTGGTCTGTCTCCAACACAAACTCACCTCCGTAGAGATAGTAGTAGTACTTCTTGATGCCTTCCACCACTGCCAGAAGTTCTTCTCGACCGTGCTGTAATTCCTCTCTGCAGGTTTCAACTTGCGACTGTGATACGCAACTGGAAAAACCTCGCCGTCTGCCTCTTGTAGTAGTACTGCGCCAACTGAAGGTTACTAGTATGCCCTGAAGAATGCAGTGATGGCTAGGGAAACACTGAGTAACACTGAGTCCGTTTATTGTGGATGAGAGAAATACAAGTGGTGACCAGCGTGTGCCAAGCACGGCTCACACAGTCAGACTGAGGCGCCTTGCCATATGGCAGCCTCGGGGCAATGTTGCCACATAACACGTGCAGTGTTGCCACGTGATAATATATATAAATGCTACTCGGCACAGTAGCTTATGTACAGGGTTGCTACTTGGCACAGTAGCTTATATACATAACCTACATCTCCCTCCCCCCTCACCCTCATAGTCTTTGTCACCCCATCCTGTGAAGCATTGGTCCGGAGGATGAAAGGCTCTTCCTTCCTCACCAGTTGAAGGATGGGTTGCTTGCATAGCAGGTTCTTGAGGGCACTGAAAGAATCCTCTTGTTCAGGTCCCCATTGCACCTTGTTAGAGGCATGTTTCTTGAGCAGGTCGGATAAAGGGAGAGCCACCACGGCAAAGTTTGGGATGAAGTTCCGGTAGTACCCTACGAGGCCCAGAAATGACCTCACTTGTTTTTTTGTAGTGGGC